TAAACTTAAAATAGTGCATGGCTGGGGTTGCTATGGAGACCGGCCCCAGCCGCACTGGGAGGGCGTGCAGCAGGGCAGGGGCTGCTCCAGAGCCACTGGGATCTTGCGAAGGGCAGCTTGGTCTGGGGCCAGGGCAGAGCTGTGATCTACTGCCTGCACACTCCAGGCAGGGGTGCACAAGCAGCAGATTGCAGCTCTGCCCTGGCTCAGGACCAGGCTGTCACCACTGCAGGAAGCCAGGGCACAGCCAAGATCCACTGCCTGTGCACCCCTGCCCAGAGCATGCAGGCAGCAGATTGTGGCTCTGCCCTCGTCCTAGACCAAGGTGTCCGAGGTGCAAGATCCCAGAGGCTCCGGTGCAGTCCTCTGCCCTGCCCTGCTGTGCACCCAGCCAGTGCAGCTGGGGCCGGTCTCCATGGCAACCCCAGCCTTGCACTGTCACAGCACAGATATAGCAGGCATCTCCATGGAAACTGGCCCTTGCCATGCAGGCAGGGCTGCTGGGAAATGGAGTCCACTGGTTGCTGGATCTGCCATTTTGTTCACCACTGCCCTAGAGCCAGCCCTTCAGACTTCTGCCTGACTGCAGATGCCTGGCAATGGGATGAGAGAGTTGGTATAAGAGAGACTTTCCTTCTGTGGGGTCCCCAGGAAATGGTGTTGCAGATCAATCTCTCATCCCTTTGCTTCTTGTTACCACCTATCAAGAGTTTCTTCTGATATGCTGTCCCTTATTCTCAGAGCAGCAGTTGGTTATTTCCTGCCCTCTTTAGATTGGTCAGAAGGAGATTGAGAGTTAATGGGCTGGGCCAGGCTAGGTGGGGTGTGTGTGCCCATGTGTGTGCATGCATAGGTATGCTTTCTGATTGTCGTTCTAGTGCAGTTGCCCTAGGGTGTTGGGTACTTTGGTAACAAACATTAGAGGGAGGCAGGGCTGGGGAGAGGACAGGACAGCTTGGAGTGGAGCAATTGACATATGAGGAGAGATTGAGAGAACTGGGCTGTCTCAGCATAAAAATACCTGCTACCTTTGACTGAAGCGGTTTAGTAACTGGCTTAGCAAAACTGGTGCAGTCCCTGTACACGGCTGTAGACAGGGAAGAAATCAACTAAAGCTCCGTGGCCACTGGGGCCTCTTGCAGAGGGCCGATGATCCGGTTGCAGTGGTTGCTAGCTGCAGAGATTTCTAAATGCAACTAGTTCATGAAAAAGTGGAACTAAATGGACGCACATTTCTTGATGTAGAGGTGGCACAGCCAGTGCTGGAATGAATATGCCCTTTTGTGGCCCTCTAGCATTGCCCCATATGTGAGCACACTTGGCCAGCTTTGTCCCTGTTAGCATCTTGAACCCTCCCCCACCCCCCAAACCTGACCACTTTGCTAGTTTTGGTGCCCCCTTTGTCTTGTGTACTGCATTGTTTACTGCCCCAAAGACCTGGGAAATGTTCTGACCTCTTCTCTGTGCTCCCCTTGTTCACCTCTGCTTTTGAAGCCACCCTACACTATCCGTTGAGTTGAAAAAGGGAGGAGCCCTGCTGCCATGATACACTGTTGGTGTTACTGTGTCTCCCTCTGGCTTTGGTTTCTGTTTGGGGTGGGCTGTCTACTTTTAGTTCATATGTTCCTTGGGTATGGATTGCCTCCTTGCCTAGCATGGGCTGGCCCCAATATGATATCAGGTACAGACCAAAAAGATGATGCAATCTAAAAGCTGAAAGTACCAGAAGGGAGAGGAACTCCAGTGAAGGCAACAGTAACAAAGCTAGTATAAGTGGGGCAAAGCTGGGAGGGCAAATCCAGTCTGGTCACAGGGGAGTCCTCATCAGGTCTAAGGGGCCTTGTGGGATGAATGTTGCTTAAGATACGTGAATTAAATAGATACAGTGCCGGACAGCTCCTGATTAGGGACACAAAGTCCCCAGCATTGTGAAGGCTTCCATGCTTTCCCAGCCCTCTGGCAGAGGCAGCCTGGGGTCATATGTCAGGTCTCTGCCCTTGTCCTGCAGTCACTAACTGGCAAGGGGAGAGCTTCTGCATGCCTAGAATGAATTTTGCATTTGCCTTTACTGGCAGCTAACAGATGTTGTTTTATGGCCTGTGCATAGTCACACACATGGGAAGTGAGCTGTATCCTGCCTGGTTGGTAAAGGAGGTGTCTCTACTCACCTGGGTGATCAGCAGAGTTATAACTGCTGAGCAAAGGAAGGACTGTAGTGGGATTTCTTCCCCCATCCATCTGTATTTCATGGAAAGCCTCTGCTAGCACTTGAGCAGTACTGGCTCCCTCAGCTTAGAGCAGGCTGTTTTATCCCACAGCAGGTCCTGCGGTGATTTTGTTTTGTTTTGTTTTTTGATAGCAGTAGCAAGCCTTTGCTCTAGCTCTTATAGATGAATGTTGCTTTGTAGAACCTCTAATTGTAGCTACCTTTGCTTCTTTCTAGGTTTCAAGTGCCCAATTTGCTCCAAATCTATAGCTTCCGACGAGATGGAAATGCACTTTATCATGTGTCTGAGCAAACCCCGCCTCTCCTACAATGGTAAGAGCTCTGTTTCCATGCATCTGTTTCCAGATCAAATGGCTTATGATTGGGAGGGCAGATGCTGCATGGAGGGTGAGTTGCATCCAAGTTCTGTCATCATCTTGGATCAGGATGTTCCTAAATGGCTCAGAGAAGGTTACTGAGAAAAGGTTCTTGCTGTCTCTCCCAGAGCCCTGCTGGCTTCATCTGCAGTACTGCTCACTTGGCACAAGCTGGTCAGACTCCCCCCACTTATTATTTTCCTTTGGAAGCACTCAAGTGCATGTGCACTTTGCTGACTTGAGCCAGCTTGCACATGAGGGAATGGGTTGAGACCAAAGCTTTCCTAGGAAGGTGCAGCCTGCGTTTTTGGTGGGGCCTTGTCATTACGTTAGGCCTGTAGGGCCCTAGCTCAGTACCTTCCCCCAGCCCCTTTTATCCAGAATGCCCTCCTTACACCTCTGGGTAATGGATCTGTCGCCTGCCTTGCCACCTTATCTCTGGAGCTTTAGCCTGACCCTGTTACCCATGGATATGGCTCACTTATGCCTTGCTTTCAACATGGGGACTCTAGTATGGATGGCTGAGCAACTTCCAGTCTTGTTAGCTCAGGCCTCTTCATGCTGTTGCCTTGTGGGTTTGGATCTCTGTCCTCATTGAGCTCCCACGTAGACCTGCTCTGCTGTTCACCACTTCCACCAAATGCTGGGAAAGCTAGTTGTGAATGCATTGGGGATCAACTGCCAGACTCCCCACCCCCTTTCCCATGAGGTAGGCTGGCTGAGGGTGTGGGGTAGGGGCTGTCATAAGCCCTTCTGGGCCTCTTGGGTCATGGGGGATTTAACACTGCTGGTGGTGTTACCTGTTGGTGATTCCTAATTTGACTGCTAAGGCCAGGCGTCTCAGACTTGACTTCTAAAGCCAGATCTAGACTATGTTGGCTGGATTCATCACAGGGCACAGGGGTGGCTCTGGTGACAATGACAAGAGCTCCAGCTCCAGACTGGTGCATGCAGCAGTGGTGTCTCCAGCTCCTGCCCCCTGCTGAAGCTGGAACTGCTGCCACTGACCCACATTTCATGCATCAGTGACAGCTCCAGCTTCAGCACAGAGCACGTGGTAGGTACAACTCCAGGTGTGGCTCACGGAACGTTGTAGGAGAGCTGGTGACTGGGGAGGTAGGGCTGCAACAGTGGCGATGGGTGAAGCAGTCAGAGGGTGACCGGGGTTGTCAGCCCTTGCTTGCCCTCCTATCACCACTGATCACTTTGTCCATCAGGGTCCTTGGGCCCCAGATTCTGGAGCAGGCTACTTGTTCTCTCTCCCCAGCACCAGTCATCTTCCCCAGCTTACAGTGACCCTGGCTCCACAGACCAGATCCAGCTTGTGGGCTATGTGTGATACTCTTACCTTAGGTCAGTCACTTTACTCTTGTGCCTCCATTTCTTCCCTCTTTTGAAATGGAGGAAGTGCTGTCCTGCTGCCTGGGGCTATACCTGTGCCAGGTGCTAGGATTGTTGTGAGCACAGTGCAGAGCACCCCTACCCCAAGGATCCTGCAGGCCAAGAGGACAAACTCGACACTGTCCTGGGAGGGCAGAGGTTAAAGATTGCCTAGGAGGTCCATGCTGCAGCCCACAGGGTGGGGATCTTGCCACCCAGCCTGCCCTTAGCATATTAGTGTGCCTGTAGCAGGAGGAGACCTGCATATCTAATGTGCCAAAAGACACTGCAGCAAGGGAGCCCATGCATGTGTGGGTGGGTGGATGAGGGCAAGGCAACTAGTTGTAGTCATCTTATGGATTGGCTAGTGACAGGGTACCCATCACCTGCTTCTGTGGTAACCTGAGTCACTTGGGCAGCATGCTTTGCCTCAGCAGAGTGCTCTTTCCTTTCCTAGGCCTCTCACAAGGGTCAGATTGGTTTCTGTCTGCAGTGGAGAAAGGCTGGTCTCATCAGTCCCCAAGCCAGCATGCTCAGCAGAGTGGTTTGTGCCAGGTAGCAAACAGCAATCTGTTTGGCATGTGGTCACTAGCATTCTGGTCTGTGCTGCCTCTGGGACTTGTCCGTCTCATCTCATCCTATGCAAAAGTTAAGTGAAGGGACGTGGTCATCATGGGTGACCTAAACTACCTGGACATCTGCTGGGAAGAGCAGTCAGCCAGGTCTGACTGCTCATAAAGGTTCCTAGCTGAGTTACAGGACCTCCACCTAACCCAAGAGGTCCACAGTCCCACTGAGGAAATACCTTGTTGGACCTGGTCCTGGCCACAGGTGATGACCTGGTGAGGGGACTGCGGGTGCTCGACCACCTGGGCAATAGTGATGTTCGCCTACTGTAGTTTACCATCCAGCGCAGGGTGTCAAAGGCCTGCAGGAAGGCAGCAGCCCTGGACTTCAGGAGGGCGGATTTCAATGAGGTAAGGAGACTAGTCAGGGAGGCAGTGGGGTCCTGGTGCAGAGGGGAGTTGGGAGTCCAAGACGAGTGGTTGTTCCTTAAGGAGACAATCCTCCAAGCCCAAACTGTGACAATCCCCACACGGATCAAGAGGGGCAAGAGTGCTCAAAAGACCCCATGGCTCACCAAAAGCATCCATGAACGCCTCAAAGCCAAAAAGGAGGTGTACACCCAATGGAAGGGAGGGGCCATCACCAAGGAGGATTATACCTCCTTGGCTCAAGATTGTAGGGGGGCTGTTAGGAAGGCTAAGGCAGAGGTGGAACTTGGACTAGCAACCTGAATCAAAGATATCAAGAAGTCCTTTTTTTAAATACATAGGGAGTAAAAAGAAGGTGCCAAATAATGTGGGGCCTCTGTAGGACATGCTTGGTAATCTGGTGGTAGTGCCAGATGACAAAGCTAATCTCTTTAACAGATTTTTTTGTTTCCATTTTTCTGAGCAGGGACAGGGATATCCCCCACACTGGGATTCTGGACGGACCCAGGGGAGGCGCAGCCAGGCCCAGGGTCAGTGAGGACCTAGTAAGGGAACTTCTGGAGGGACTAGATGTGTTCAAATCAGCAGGTCCTGATGACCTTCACCCCAGAGTGCTTAGGGAACTGGCAGAGGTCATTGCAGGACCCCTGGCACAGCTTTGTGAGTGCTCGTGGTGCTCTAGTGAGGTGCCTGACAACTGGAAAAAGGCCAATGTGGTCCCCATTTTCAAAAACGGGAGGAAACTATAGACCCGTTAGTCTTACCTCAGTCCTGGGGCTGCGACCACCCCAAATTTTGCTGTAGCCCCCCTATAGTCCCTTCCCAGCACCATCACCATCACCATCACCATCACCATGGCCCTGGGTGCAGCACAGTGCAGCCCAGTCTCCCTGCCCCACCCCCCCAATGCTAGGAGGAGCCCAGCCCAAGCGAGTGCAAGGCAGGCACAGAGCATGTAACATTTCCCTTGCTTTTACCTGTCCTGCTTATACAGTGCCCTGGCTGTCAGGCTGCTTGTGTCCTCCCCCCAGCTCACAGATGCAGCCTGCCCTGCCCCGCCCTATGCTCTCCTGGCATGTGTGCAGTGGTGAGAGCTGGTCCCCCTCTCCGCGCCCCCCGCATCCCACCATGCCCCAGCGGGGCAACACCTTACCAGCTGAACGCAGCTGTATTGGAAATCAAATTATCATCAGCCAATATGCCTCCTTAAAAATCAGCTATCGGTACCAGGCCCCAAAATCTCTATCGGTGCACCCCTAGTGCCAGCCATTGCCTGTGCTTCAGTGTGGCAGGGATATAGTACTGTGGCATTTCCCTTGCCCATACCTATCTTCCTCATGCAGTGCCCTGGCTGTCAGGCTGCTTGTGTCCTCCCCACCTGTCTTATTCCATGCTGCTCCTAGGGTGGACAGGAAGCTCAGGTTTGGCCCCCAGTCTGCATCCACTGTATCTGCAGGCTCTGCCATCACTGCCTGGCCAGGGAAGGGGCCAGGGGCTTCTGTCTCCCATCATGATGTTGCAGTGATGGAGTTCTGGGATGATTGGGCTGGAATGGCTCTTCATTAAAGGACAAAGATATTGTTTCCAGCAGAGCCCAGGGCTGTCTGGCAAGTGTGCCCTAAGCTAGGGCAAGTGATTGCCCCCTAGGGAGGTGGACCAAATGTCTAGGTTGACCGGAGCTGCTGTGTGGCTGAAGACTTGTGCTGCTGGGAAGAGGAGGGACACCACAGCCCAGTTAGTCTCTACTGAGGGTCTCTTTAATCTCCTCACAGTGATATGCACCAGAGAGTGCCCAAGAGTGTTCCCAGCCTGGGCACTGGCCTGCATGCTGAACTAAGTAATGGTTGGTGGAGTTTGCCGGAAGGGGCTCTGTTAAGGGTGGAAGAGCAGGGTGTGGGGTTTCCCATAGAACAAGTACATACCCAGTTCTTCCCTAGTGGCTGGGATACCACACGTGACTAGAGCCAGAGCCACGGTTGGTTTCACCATCATTGCTCTTCTAGTTGGCTCTGGTGCTGGCATGGCATTTGCAACTAGTTGCAACTAGCAAGGTGCTGAGGTGGCCACCAGGCCTGTGGTTGCTCTGCAGAGTAATCACTTGCTAGTAGGCTTGCTCTGTTCCTGTTGTCATCAGCTCCCCATACTCTTTGCTCCCTCCAGCAGGCTGGCACTACTGCCGGGGCATGGCCATTTAGCAGAGGCATCGTCCAGCCAGGTGGGAGGCTTGCATGGCACAAGCTGGGAGTGTGCTACAGGCTGCTTTTCTTTCTTAGGTGTGGAAGGGAGCCTGATGGCCTAAACACCACCAGGGAAACCATTGGTCTGTTGTCATGGCATGTCCTCATTGCTAAAATCCCATGCTAGGTATTGGCCCCGTTTCCTTAAACCCCTCCTGCAGGTGCCTTGAATACTGTACTGTGTTGCACTCCTGTGCACCACTGTCTTGCCTGTCTCCCCCTTTCCAGATTATCAGCCTGTTTTGTCTTTGCTGCCAGGCAATAAGAAACAACCCCAGCCCCCTTCTCTGCCTCCCTGCTTCATTTGTTTCATTCTTGGCACCATGCCAGTATTTATTCCTGGA